ATTCATTAATTATGAGAGAAAATATAATATAAATTTGAAAAAATATCTAAACAAAGATAAAATTAAAAGTTTATTTTATTTTCAAATATAATTAATTATTTAACCATCTTCTCTTGTTTCTGGTGAGATAATTAAAAGTTTTTTATGATAAAAATTGAAGAAAATCATTAATTTTTAGAAAATTGGCCCCCTCAACTTTTGAGGCTGGGTTTGCTACTAACTCTTATGATCATATTTAAAAATATAAGGACTATAACATTGTAAATAGATAAAATTTAAGGGATTTAGAGCAATGAAAACAAGTACTGGGACTAATACAAAAATACACTAAAAGTACATAGATTAATAGTTATATTTTTCTAATTATTAAATACTAACGGATTTTTGTCGTAAAATGTGCCTAATGAGAAATTACTTTAGGAATAAACGCAAGTTAATGATCAGATTTCTTTTCACTCGCTATATAGAGTTGCCTAGTGGTATGACTCTCATTTCACATTCTCCTTTATAAATTTACTCCAGGCAAATGATTTCCAATTGTTTGATCATTAAGAGTCTCAATCTCAACCCTTATCTTTAGTCAAATATGTGCAAAGGAAAATATCTTTCTCATCCATTTATTTTAGTTTCCCCTGATTGTTAAGCAAGCATGTTCTTCCCTTCTTCCATTTTAATCTGAGATCTTATTGAATATTGAATTGGTAAAACTTCTGCACTGAGATCTCAGAAAAAGTCCAGTATATGATGAAATATTTCAATAATTAGGTCTGAGTTCAATTCAAGGAAGACAATGGGAAGAAACGGATATACCAGTTCAATTCAGTTCTGTTGGCTCCGTTTCTTGAAACAAATGGCTTTTTATTTCAGTTTAGTAATCACTAAAAGTACAAACATAATGCTATAGAAATTGTGTGTGTCAAAAAAATAAGTCTCACATTGTCTAAATGAAGAAAACTCCTAGTATATAAATGCTAAAGAATGAAATGGGTTAGTAAAATGGGCTCGAAGGAAAAGTGGGTTTGCTTGTATGAAATTGGTCAACTCAGGGCAATCACAGTTGAAAACAGTCAATTTCCCCCTTGCGCATGAGTTCAAGAGGCACTAGGTTTCTTTTATAAGATTATTTTTGCAAAAATAAATAATTATTTATTTATATGAGCTTACTAGAAAACCTCGAATTTTAGCTATTTAGAGTTTGAATTCAAACCTTGACCATTTCTGGGTGTTAAACCATTTTTCAAATAGATTTTGTTAATCAATTTTCACTAGCGTTTTGTCCCCCCAATGGCTTAGTGCTTAGTGGAAATAATATCTTGTAACCAAGGTTTAATGGTGAAATTAATCCAATGATTGCAGCTCCAACGTTCGTCCAGGATATTGGCCAATATATAGGCATGCATGCGGACAAAACCATTTTCCCACCTCTTGAGTTTTCGAGGCTCTTCTTTCCTCCTTCAACTTCTACTATGTGTTAATTCATCTGAGTTTACTAGTGTTTGCTATTCTGTTGTCTTGCATTTGCAAGATGTGCTTGTTTAATCTTGGGACACTGTTGGTTCACCGTGCTAGTGTGTTAGAATAACTTTTAAAGACAGTGTTCTTTGACATGACTTAAGCAACTTTTGTTTTCCTGCTACCACCAGCACGTAATAACTAGAAAAAAAAACATGTATGTATCTTTCTTTTCAAGAAAAAATAACAAATTTTGTAAAATTAAACTATATATACGCACATCTTATAACATGGATCAAGCATAGTGATTTCAACACTTCACCATATAAGCATCACTATGACTTTGGATGCGTTGGTCTATAATATTCACTTGACTGCAGGCTATATGGTTAATCAAATTTTGTTGAAAAATAATATGTGACTCTCTATGCTCTCTTTCACTTTCTATCAAATAATCTATGTTTTCTTTTTAGCTTGTCCAAAAGAGAAACCACAGTTGGGATTCACACCAAGCAACTTCATTTAGGATTTCCTAAAAGAATGGAATATGTAATACTCTAAATTTTCAAGCTTATTTTTCACAAATTAATAGTTTAATGAACTATTTTATAAAGAATACTAAGTATTTTAAGTATACACCCTTGTTATAATTTTAAAACTATGGTCAAGTTAGCACTTTACAAACTATATTTTTACTATCAATATCCAACTCAGGCCCAATAACACTTTTTCAAACATTGGTTACTAGCTAGACAAAACTACCACATAAAGGTATACTTGATTACAATATTACTTCACAAATTATTTCACAAATACTAAGGCTATGAGGGATAGACAAAATACTCATGGCATAATATTTAAATCAAAATTAAGGATTAAGAGGGACAAATAGAGTACTCTTGGCATGTAAGATGCAATAATTCACAAATAAAGTCTTTATGCTCAACAACACCACCACCACCACCACAACCACACACACACTCTCTCTCACTCATCCTAGGTTGACAGAATATACACCATGAAATTAAAATAAAGAGGTTAAATTAAAAAATAGTGTTTCATACACCAAATCATGCCTTAGATACTCCTTCAACTAAATTTGTTCCTATAAAAATTAATAATCATAGGGAATGATGTAATAATGCACATGAGGCAGTTAATCATGCAATTGCTAAGTGGGCAAATAAAATACTTGTCCAAACAATTATTTTCAAATAAATTAAAAAATTATTTAATTTACATGATTACATTTTATATCCCTCCTTGGGCCATACTCGGAAGCCAAGTCACCTAGTTAAAGGTGAGTTGGACCAAGCTATAAACTACTTATAGGCTCCAATGAGAGTTTATCATGTGGTAACTAAACTAGAAAAAATCCTTATTGAATAATTTTCAATACAATCCATCAAGTCATGCATTTATAACTACCGAACAAAATCATTTGGCACATTCTAACCCAACCACTTGGTAATGATTTCCAAACAAAAATATACATACATATATTATTTCTCAATAAAAATTAAGATTTTCCAAAAAACAAAACAAATACACAATAAACCACACACAAACACATACCCTACCACTTATTAAGAATGGTTACCTTATATCCTAAAAAACAAATTTCCTTCCAAAACTCCTCTTTCACCACTCTATTTGTTAACATAGTCGACACAATTGTTCCCTAATACTAAATATTAATTTCATATTGAAATTAATAAAAAAAATTCTAATTTAAAGAGTTAGAAAATTTAGGCTTAAAACCCATATTAATACTATTTTAAGGTTAGTGTCAAAAATTATCCTCAAGCCTCAAATCACCATTCCATATCCTTAGAAATATTTATTCATATTCAAATAAATATTTAATAATTAGAAATTCATTTCAATATCAGATCCAACATAAACTCAACCACAAGGGTTTATGGTTTAATTCAAAAATTTTCAAATTTAAATTTCAACTTTAAAGAAATGTTCTATAACATTTATTACACCCCCACCAATTTCAGAATTTATTTTTAAAATATCATAATTTTCAATTAACTACCCTATAAAAAAATTCTAATAAAAAAATTTCCTCTAGTCGTCAAAATAATACTATTACCATTAGAGAGTTCTTGAATATTGAAAAAAACATTCATGAAAAGACTTTACAAAATAAGAGTTGTTTTGAACACCTAAATAAGCTAAAATGATTGAAGCTTACTTGAAAATGGAAGATGTGGAGAAGCTTACCTAAAAATGGAAGACATGAGACAAAGACGGAGGAGGAGAGGGGAGAGTATTTATAAAAGGACATGGGTTTTACAGTCATAATTTTATTATTATTATTATTTATTTATTTAGAGTGGTTTGTCTTTCTCCCATTTGACAAACCACCGAAAGTGGCTTGCCCCCTCCCTTTCCTTCTTTTTTTTTTGAAATATATATTATTTTATTTTTATCATTAAATTATATCTTAAGCTAAGCTAATAAATATATTTTATATGACTAGAAATCTAATTTAATTCATAATTGGATGACCTCGAATATAAAATTTATTTTTTAGTTTAAACATTAAAACAATATACATTTCTAATTTCAAATCATCAACAAAAATTTAAATTCCACAATTTATTTATTATCTTGAAATCGAGATGTTACAAGATCCCTTACCTAACAAGACAAAGACAATTGAAAGAAACTTTTTGAAATACATGACTTTTTGATACCAAACACCATTTTTTAGCCTGATTTACCTAATTTTTTTGGAAAAGTGGATCAAGCTCATAAGGTTAGTCTATTTAGGCTCGAGAATTAGTAAGGTTAGACAAAGGACTTTGAACTTAGAATAAAATGAGCTAATAAAGGCCAGTTTTAATGGGTGGAGGGCTTAAACAAGCCAATCTATTTACACTCTTTTATTTATTTTTCTTTAAATATTGTTGATTTTGCCAATATTATTAATAAGTGTTACATGTATGTAGTATGTAATGTAGTCAACTGATGACGACTGCATACAATACACATGCCTATGCTTTTATTAGCAAATCAGGTTTTCATTGCCAACCTATTAAAATTTGACTAGAATTCTGCTTGCTTGGTGGTATGTACTATATCTAATGTAGTGTAATGTTTCATATCCAAATAGTGGTATGTACTATATCTAATAAGTGTTACATGTATGTAGTATGTAATGTAGTCAACTGATGACGACTGCATACAATACACACGCCTATGCTTTTATTAGCAAATCATGTTTTCATTGCTAACCTATTAAAATTTGACTAGAATTCTGCTTGTTTGGTGGTGTGTACTATATCTAATGTAGTGTAATGTTTCACATCCAAATAGTGTCTAGTCAAGAAGGTTATTTTGGTCCATGGATAAAAACATTTTCAAGAAGCTTGAAATTTTCTATAGGGCCCTTGTGAAAAGCATCGAGATGGTTGTGTAACTAAATTAAAACTTAGGAGCTTATTTGTGTGAATTTATAAAAAAAAAAAGATATATTTTATTTAAAAAGGAAGGGGAGATCAAATGAAGATTATTGAATTTACAAGGGAAAACATTAGTACTAGTTGAAACCGGAGGAGTTTAAACATAAAAAGGAAAAACATACATGAACAACTCTGCTATTCTCATTTTCCCAGAAAACAAACAAGGAAGAGTGAAAGCAAAGACAACAACATTCTTGAAAATTAAACTAGCATCCTAAAGTGAACTTGAGTACAAAAACGGTATGCATAAACTTATCATATTTATTTGTTGGAATGTTTACCCTTAACTTGTAAAGGATGGTAGATCATCAGGAGGAGTTGGTACATCCATGAGTCCTTCAAGCATCTGCACAACTTGCTTCATGGTAGGTCTTAGTGATGGATTCTCTTGAATGCACCACATGGCAATCATCACATACTTTTCAACCCTTTTCATGTCCATTTTAGCTTCCTCATCATCTTCCACTAACTGTTCCAATCTCCTACAGTGGAAGCTATCACATGCCCAATCCATCAGCACAGTCCTATTCTCATCTTCAACATTCATGTCAAAGTTCTTTCTGCAACAAATGAGCTCCAGTAACAAAACCCCGTAGCTGTAAACATCCACCTTTATGGTAATTGGCTTGTTTTTAAACCACTCAGCTGCAACATACCCTTTAGTTCCCCTAATTGCTGTTGTAGTTCCAGTCTGGCCAATCTTTAATAGCTTGGCTAAACCAAAGTCTGAAATTTTGGCAGTGCAAGAGTCATCAAGCATGACATTCTGAGGCTTGATATCACAGTGGATGATCTGAGTGTTGCACTCTTCATGCAAGTACAAAAGTCCTTTAGCTATTCCTATTGCAATTTGTACTCTTTGATGCCAGCTTGGCCTTTGGCCGTTAAAAAGAAAACTCGCTAAATTTCCCTTACTCATAAATTCATAGACAAGTAGCCTGTTCTCTCCTTCATTGCAGAATCCCAAAAGTTGCACCAGATTCCTATGGTGTGTTTGACCAATTGAAGCCACTTCTGCTTCAAATTCCTTCTCACTTTCATTCACCATCTTTAGTTTTTTTACAGCAATGAGGTTCCTTGGAAGCTCTGGTAGCACACCTTTGTAAACAATAGAAAATGATCCATGACCAATTTCTTCTGTGAATCCATTTGTTCCTTCCCTTAACTCTTCATAAGTGAAACTTCTTAGATTCAAGCTTGGCCTAAATTGAATAGTTGTGGCTACATTTTGGTTATTTTGGCCAAACCAGTATGCGACCACACAAGCTGCCACTAACAAGACCAAGTTCAAGAATACAGAACTTCCTAAAAGCATCGAACCAATAATAATTAATTTCGATTTGTCATTGTTTGGATTAATATCTCTTGGAACCAGAGTAGAAGAATTATCTTTTCTTACTTTGAGTAGAGCTATCCCTGCGAATGATAAATCAAACCATCCATTACGGAGAGGTAGGCTCTTCTTCCAACACTTCCCAAGATAGAAAGAAGCAGCTTCACAAAGATGATCATCTAAACAAGCTTGTCTACACTCATCCAAACTTACTTGTTTTAAGCATTCATAGTCACAACACTTCCAATTTGTGTTTGGCATGTCAATGATGTAAAAGAGATGCGCTTGTGGAGAAGCTTGATCACAACTTTCTGGAAAGAAGTTCTGTTTGCATCCTTTCATCACATCATTTGGATCAATGAAGCTGTAACCAATTGGGCAAGAGCAATTTTTCATCCGACGATCAAAGGTACAATAGCTGTTTATTCCACAAGCTCCACTTCCTGTATATTCTGTAATTGCCAAGCATATATTCTCAGGTATGAAGGAGTGAATTGACCAAGACATTGGTCGGATTTCTGTGCTCGTGCTATTATCCTTGGGATGAATATAATGTCGAAAAACTCCATCATAATCAAGAATAGCCCTCTGATAATAATTTTGCGGAGAGATGGCTTTCGATGATATATTCTGGGTTATACTTCCATCACTGCTTTGAACAAATATAAAGCCAGAGTGGTTGAAGACCACTGAGAAGCTACTGCCACTAACTTCGGTAGGCGACCAATAAGGAGAATTTAAAAAATCATATGGGTAATTAGTTGTGTAAAGCACAAAACCATCATCCTGAAGTGAAAACAGAAATCTCCCCTTTGAATAATTACTTGGCAAATAGCGTGAAACAAGTTGAGCAGGTTGATTCAAAATCTGCCCCGGTAAAATTGTGTCAGTAGGATGATCAAAGCTTTGCCACAGATTTTGAGATTCATCACTAACCAACACAAAGTTACCAGAATCAAGCATGGCAGCATAAGAAACTCCATGTACTAAAGGTGTAGCATTCCAAAGTTGTTGACCATTGGGATCAATGAGCTGGAAAGAACCATGTGAGGTGAGCTCAACTTTGGAACCCTTTGGAGCAAGATTTTGTCCATTGGCTGACCAGACAATAGTTCTTTCCAGTATTTTGTTGAACCAGATGGCTAGTAAGAACCCATCTTTCTGAATTTGTTGGAACCCAAATGCAAAATCACCAGATGGTGAAGCCCAAAAGGAGCCATTTTCTATAGCAGTGAGGGAAGTGCCCAAGGATATATTCTTGAAAGATTGAGTGAGAACAGAATGAGAAAGAAAGGCAAGTAAGAGAGATAAAAAGAAGATTGGGTATGGCTTCTCAAAAGCCATTTGATTAGAGGAATTTGTGTCGATGAAAGTTGAGTAAAGGCTGAAAAGTGCTTGTTAATATAATAACCAGTTAGCCTCAGACTAACGCCGAGTCAAGCAATCCATGTAATTAATTTGTGCTTACCAAAGGGTGGAGATCGAAGAACTTAGCTTGTATCTTCTTAGAAAGTTAGAGTATTATTTAAATAATTCGGGAAAAGTCAATTCCTTGTTGGAAAAAAAATCCATGTGACTCCAAAAATTGATTTGTGCTTTTATGCACCGTTTCCTAAACGATGTTGGAACGAAGAACACGACTTTAGAAGATAGAAACTGTAGCTCCAATTTTGTTTGTAATTAACTTTTAAATTAAAAATTTTAAAACTCATTCATTTTTTTAAAAAATTTAATATTTTTTAATTTTATTTATATTAAATATACATAGGTTAATAATATATTTGTTGGTAAAAAACATACTTTATCTTTTTATTATTTAATGAGAGTAAAATAAAAAATTTAAATAAAAAGTCAATTCGCATGTCACATGTTTTGGATAAAAAAAATCTTTAATATTTTTTATTTTATAAATAAGATCGAAGAAGGAGGTAATTAATCTCTACTCTTAGGAATCACTGTTAATTTGTCACACAAAATTTGTTTTATATATATATATATATATATACATGGTTTATGATCAATGACTTGAAGGAATTCAGCTAAAAGTCAAGCAGTGCTTACAAAGTTATAGTAGTTTAACCGTTTCAAACACTTAATGGAAAAATCAGGTCATGGCTGAAAAAGATGCTTAATGGTAACAGTCTATGCTACTAGTCTGGAACAAATCAAAATCAATATATATATATATATATATATATATATATATCCTCACTTGTTTTGACTATTCTAATTACATGCTTAAATTTATTTTACTTTTTAATTTTATCCTAAAAATATTTTAATTAAATCTACTTTAATTATTTCTCAATTTTAACAAAGAATCTTTTTATTATTTATAGGTATCATTCTATTAGAGGATATCCTGTTTGAGGCATGGTTGGATACTAAATATAGATACCTTTTATAGTGGGGATTCAACTCTTAGTTTGTCACATTGTGAGGATTTAACCCATTTCTCCTGAACACAATCCTATTAGTAATTTTAACAAAAAATTTTATTTTTATTTCATAATATTTTTATAATCTAATGTGTCCTTTAAAGGGACAATTATATTTAATTCTTTTGCAAAAACAAGAATATTGACACTTAAGAACATAAAATGTGAAATGTCATTTTAGTCTAAAAAATATTAGAGTTAAGAGCTATTTTTGTTCCTCAAATAACTCCTCAACTTTACCCAAACGATAGTTAAATATTTCAAACTTAATTATAAGTTAATTTTATGCTTCAACATTAAAAATCTGTTACCTCATCATCTGTTCCCCCCCCCCCCGGTTTGTTAACATTATTGGGTCTCACAATTCATTTTTAAATATTTTTAATTCTCTCCTCCTCCATCTCCTTCTCTCCTCTCTCTCCCCTCCCCCACTTTTTCTCTCTCCCTTCCTTTGCTCTCGGTCCTTCCCAGTCCCCACATTCTCTTTTTCGTCCATCTTGGTCACTTCATTTTTGTCCTCTCAAAGTACATCAATAACAAACTCGGTTGCTGAGTGCTAACACTTCATACCACTAATTAATAATGATTATATCATAATTACTATCACGGTGTACAAATTGCAATATGCCTTGCTTATATATATATATATATATGGGATAAAAAATCAATTGGCATGTCACATGTCTTGGATTAAAAAAAATCTTCAATTTTTTTCCTATTTTATAAATAGGATTGGAGGAGTTAATTAATATCTACTCTTATAAATGGTTTATAAATGTGTGTGTGTGTGTTCATTGTTTCTGATCAATGACTTGAAGGAATTCGGTTAAAAGTCAAGAATTGCTTATAAAATCACATTAGTTTAACCGTTTCAAACACATGATGGAAAAGTTACGTCATGGCTAAAAAAGATGCTTAATGGCAGCAGTTTGTGCTCCTAGTCTAGAACAAATCAATTAAATCTATTTTGATTATTTTTTATAAATATTTTAATAATTTCTTAATTTTAACAAAGAATTTTTTTATTATTTATGGGTGTCCTCCTATTAGAAGATATCACGTTCAACCATAATCAAACATTAAATATAGACAAATTTCTCTTCATCCAATGGTTAGATGAAGAAAAATGGTGGAGAGAAGGGGGCTGCCATGGCTGAAAAAATGAAAAAAAATAAAAAACAATGATAAACAAGAGAGGAAATATAAAATGAAAATGAAGTGGTGAGAGATTTTATGTGGAGGCTAGGGTAAATATTTTTGGTGGAAAAAGAGCAGATTGTGTGTGAACAAATTGCTACCAATTGTAAAAAAATAAAACAAAAAGAAAAAAAAAAGGCTAGAGTGAGGTAAACACTTTTTACATACTCAAATTGGTGGCTTTCTATCATTAGCTCAAAGGGAATATCCTAAATAAAAATATTCTCATTTATTTTATCAAATAATCTGATTTTTCTCTCCCTTTTCAGCCCTAAAAGTGATGCTACTAATTTTCAATTTCACCCTCTTCTATGATTCTTCACCAATTGTAAAAGTTCAAGTCCATATGTGCCACCTAAGTCACAAAATAAACATAAAATAAAAATCAAATATTCATGTGACTAAATAATTAAATTCTTACACATGAAATTAATTAATTAGCATGGAAGGATATTAATGAAGTAAAATCTAAGGACACATGAAAGCTCATACATGCACATAAAACCCTAATTCGGTCAACAAAGTCAACAACCCCTAAAAATGTTATCTTTATTTTATAACTCTCAAACCAAATTGAATTTTTAAAAAATAATTTCATATTCATTCTTTTGGGCATAAAACACATGGAACACAACATTAATTTAATTTTTCATAAAAAGTTTAATTTTGAACCAAAATACCTCTGATGTACATTTTTGTCCCTTAAGTGATTTTCTTGCTTTTGATACCATGAATACACCAAAATAGAGAATAAAACATGTAAAATGGGTCCTAAATGAATGGATAAAGTGTGTGAAATATGGGTCTTATTAATTTTCCCACACTTATCCTTTGCACTCTGGTCAAAGTCAAAACAAAATAAAATGAATTCTCAACCCTAAGAAATGAAAACAAAGCAAGTAAACAAAAAGAAAATAGATGCTTAAAGATGTCAAATTATGAGTGACCTAATTAGTCCCTATCCTCAATCATGTGATTGCAACAAAAATAGAATTATGAACATTGCAAACAAACTTTAACTAAGAGTCAATGCATAGAGTAAGCCTCACAAGATAAGGCATTTTCAATCTTCACTCAAAGTGTTCAAAGTATGCAATTTCACTCAACTTCTCTTAGTCATCACCTTATCATAGGCTTGTAACACCTTTACATCTCCACCACTAAATAGCACTCAAAATCAAGAATCAAGAGGTCTTATTAGGATGTAATGTAGTATATAAAAAGATGACTTAGGAATGCATGTGAGAACTATGGTTTGGCACAAAGACTTGTCTTGGTCGAATTAATGCAACTTGATATACAATACATAACAAAGTTCAAATAGGTGATAATATTTAAGAGTGCAATAATGAATGAAGATGGAAATGAGTAAGGCAATTATTTTGAGCTAGAAACCTTTATTCCTTATATTTCTTTTTCCTTTTCTCTTTCTTTTCAACTCTTTGTTTTTTTTTCAACATTATCTTTCTCTATTTTTTTTTTCCATATCTTTTCTTTTGAGTTGCTCTAACTCTCTTGAATTGGATCTTGCCTTAAAGATGGAATGGAGGCCAAATATGCATAAGTGAATGAAGGGGTGAACAAATAGATGGACGAAACATGGAAGATAATTACCATATGAACAAAGATATGCAAAACATCTTAAGAGGACAAATGAAAGTACATGAATTCCGTGGAAAAATAGGGGATGAATATTTTTAAAAGAAATTTTTCAAAAGGCACAAAGTGGCTAATAAGATATATAACAATCAAGGGTTGGCCATTTGGCTCTAGCTTTATGAAATGAATACCATCTATCATTTTCCTTCAACCAAGTGCATGAAATGTAATTTCAAATAAGAAGTGAAACAAGTTTTAGAAGGTAAATAAGCTAAGAGAACAATCATACAAGAGTGTTTGGCTTCTTCCAACAAAGGTATAATGCCATGCTAATTCATTAACTCAAGATAAAAGAATGCTTACTTTTCACTTACTCAAACGCAGTGGCAATCACAATTCAAGAATCAAGGTTCAAATCCAATCAACTTAATCATTAAAAACTACAAGCAAAATAAAATAGAATTTTTTTAAAAAAACCAAAATAAACAAAACAAAGTATGTATTCCCTCCCCCACACTTGAACTATACATCGTCCATAATGTACGCAAAGACATATGATGTGACAATAGAAATAAAAAATGAATGCATGAGCAAGCATGGATGAAGAATTTTTCTTAATGGAAAAAGAAAAACAAACCAACAAAACAACTAAGAAAAGAAACTAATTTTACTACTAGAGTGCCCTCTCCCACACTTGCAACTCACTCAAGTGTCAGACTAAGCAATTAATATCAAAGTGTAAAGAAAGTAAGGAGAGAGACAACCTAGTCAAGGAGGCTCATGGTTGTGATGTGGAGTGTCATATTCGGTCTTCTTGAAAAGCTTGCACAAGTGGCCATTGATTTAGAGTGTGGAACTCATAGCTTCATTCAAAAGTTGGAGTACACCAAATGGAAGCACTTTAGTCACCAAGTAAGGACCATCCCACTTTTACTTAAGCTTTGCAATCTTATGGATGTAGCGGGTGTTGTAAGAGAACATAGTCACAAATATGGAACTCCTTCTTCAACAGCATCTTGTAATGTAAAAACTTAGCTCTTTCTTTATAAATCCGTGAGGATTCATAAGCCTCTAACCAAAACTATTCAAGCTCTTGGAGTTGAAGCTTCC